GCAGAATTAGACCAACGCATGTATAATTGTCCGACAACTGATCAAGTCGCAGCAATATGGCTTGAAGGAAATAATGCTAATATTCCCTTTGAACGTAACATTGTTGTTCATGCACATTCGGGTGTTATACATAGAATAAAACATTATTTTGGATGTTATGATCCACTGCAATATCCCCTCATTTTTCCAAGAGGTGATGTTGGTTGACATCAAAAAAATTTCAAGTTAGCCTCTAATGGAAACTCTATGCAGAAAGAAGGTACAATATTATTTTTTCTTATGTTTAGTGTTTTGTATTTTAAATATTGATATGACATTTTGTTTTGTTTTAGGTATCAATCCATTCTTCTCTCTATATGGGAGGACATGGCTCAAAATGAAGGATCCACCGTACATGACATGGTTGAAGAGAGCCAATTTGTCGCAATTACCAATTTGATAAAACCAAATATCTACAACGGTAACATCAAAACTAATTACATAACAGTACTTATATTTTTACAATGTCGTAATTATGATTGTAGTTAATTGTAAATGTAACTTTTCTCTACATTAAATTATGTTAATGACACACAATTATCATACATATTGCTCAATTAGTTACAACTATATGATTTAGATTCTTATTGACATAAACACAATGTTCTTTTTAATTACAATCATACATATTAGTGGGAGTATTTATTGCCCGGGAGTATTTATCTACAATCATACATATTGCGTTGTCAGTTTTGCTATGAAGCCAACAGTTGGTTCCATAGTAGAGCCAACCTTCTATATACAACAAATAAACCTACCATACTAATAAAATTATATTAATGTTATTTAAGTAATCATAGAACATGGTAGGTTTACTTGTTGTATATAGAAGGTTGGCTCCATTATGGAGCCAACCGTTGGTTCCATAGAAAAACCGATTGCTAGGATTATTTATTTACAATCAAACAATGTTAATTACAATCATACTTTAATTTTTATAATCCCTTAATTATGTTTGTAGATAATTGTGCATATAACTTTACGATTATAATGTTCACATTTAATTGATTAGGCCAATTGCAATTGCAAACTAGTGCAACATCTGTACTTTAGATAAACACGGCGTGTGAGAAAAACAACCATATGCGTATATGGCATCCTCTAAATTTTTGATACGATATTAAAAATATCACACTTTACATAACAATAATATTACCTCATGTGTTTTGTATTTTTTAGGTTACAAACACATGACAAGCCTGTGAAAATAGTTGAAATGTCAATGGCAAGAAAAATGAAGGATTTGGATAGCATCACCTTGCAACAAATTTACTATAATCGTGCAATTATACAGACATTATTGAGGTAAATTTAACAAATATCTTAAATAACCAACATATTTTTTGGTTGAATTATTTATATAAATTACCATTGTTTCCAATCACATGGAAAATACTATTGTTTCAGAGGATTTGTCGACAAGGTCATGAACAAATCATCATTATGGTATGAATCATGTAAAAAATGCTTCTCCTCTATTGACAAGAATGACAACAACAAGAAGTGTAAAAAGTGCAACAATGTTGTGGAAACAACTCCAAGGTAATAAGAAAAAACAAAAAAATATATCTTATATTTTAAAAACAGAGCACAATTAAAATAATTTTACTATTTGCATATATAGGTTGGTATTAAGTGTTGTAGAAGAGAACCTCAGTGGCACTATCACACTTTTTGAAGATGTTGGAATGGTTTACGTGGGGTGTTCTATTGCAGACTACATTAGATCCATTGAGCAGGTATATAAATATTTCAATTTATAAGTTAAATTCATCTTCAAATAATCAAATTTATAACTCAAATTCATCTTTAAATACACCATTTTCAACTCAAATTTCGTTCCAAATTTATTAGGGAGAAGAATCATCTGGTTGCTATCGAGGATTGAGCTTGCAATCAACCACCCAATTTCAATTTCTCATCCAAATAAATCATAAGTCCTACAACTCAAAAGGAAAGATGAACGTGGTTGTCGAAGCAATTGCAAGATTACAACCTGTCAATGATGATGAAATGAACGAAAGCTCATCAAAATCTTCCAAAAACGCAACTAATGTGCAAAAGTGTCAAGGGGCACCACAAAAAAAAAAACAAGTTCAAAAAAGAAAACGTGTCGCCAACAAGATAAAGGAAGACGACAATGATAGTGTCATTGAAATTGAGGATAATGAAACAATCAGCAGTCAGAAAAAGAAATGTGTGCGCAACAATTCAAAAGGAAAGGGAAAGAAATAATCCTCTCCGATCATCAACATAAATAAAGAGAAGAGTTGAAGATCATAGTTACTTCTTTCCATCATTTAAATTTAAGAACATTCCTTAGTTACTTTAGTTACTGTTTAATTTAAGAACAAACTTTATTTACTTTCTTGCTATAGTTCATTTACTTTACATTTTTAAAAATTTCATCTACTATCTATTTTACCTTAGACCATTAATAATTTATCTCGGACACTTCATGTTTTCTATTAAGATTGAGTTTAAGAAATGTCCTCGTGCACTAAATTAGCAAAAAGATATTTTCACCACGTGCATCGCACGTGTTCCTTACTAGTTTTTCAAAATTGATTTATGATGAGTGAAAAGTAAATTATTAAAGTTAACCATTAATGGACACGTAAAGCGTTAGTTGCGGGATTCGAATGGTCATGAGTCATATCCGCATTGGACTCTTAAATGAAGATAACTCTCTTTTTATAATAAAGAAAGTTAGAGAAGTCACAACAACAACAACAAAGTTATGTACTGAGTGTTGGTGTTTACTTCAATCATGCGCGCGTGCCCCCTAGTCGACCGATTCGGGCTTGGGCATGGACGCAGAAACAGACATGGGCCTTGCCTTTGCCCTTGGATCATGGTCCTTAGTCCTTGATCCTTGACAATTGGACTGTATGTTGGACTTGCGCTGCCTTAAACGCTTTGGGGCAATGTGTGATCTTTTTGCTGCAAATCTATTTACAAAATTGTGGCCCAGAAATAAAATTCAAAATGAGTTGGATTTAGACTCGTATTTTGACCCAACACGTGTAGATCTCTTCAGATAAAATGTAAATCGACATGTCGACTCCACCAGACCCTTTTTTGAAAGTTATCAGGTGGAGTTATGGTGTGGTAAATACCTGAAAACAATCAAGCAGTTTGATGCCGATTACAACATCCATGATCAGGTTGTTACCTTCCCTTAATTGCAACTGGCCTTTGGTCCTCATTGCCTAAGCTGAAAGTCCTACAAATAGGCCATGATTAGAGTTACAGAAAATACGAACATTGAACGTACATCTGTATTCTTACACTCTACAAAAAGCCTTATGCATCATACATAGTGCTTAGTTCTCGACTCTATTCTAGTTATTCTAGTTCGTCATAGGTTCGGAGCTTCGAATCATACATAGTGCTCAGTTCTCGATTATGTTCTAGTTCGTCATAGCTCAGAAGTCCGATGTGCTACAACTTATGAGATGATTGTCGTTTTATCTTTGGAGAGAAGACGCACAAAACTGCCAGTACTACACATTGCATATTTATCTTACAAAATGAGAGATTCTTGCCTCGACTACTCTTCCCGTTTTCAATTCTATTGTTATCTTCGATTTTTATTTCAGTTCAATGGATTTCCCATTGTAATTCTGACACACATTTTGTAACAATCTTCGGGTTCCTAAGGCCTTATTTTAGAAGTCTACTATCTCACGTCCTCCCATTTTAGAACGAAACTAGGAACATGTTAACTAACAAATAACAGACAAGAAGCAATCAGCAATAGCCCACCATCAAGGCTGACCTAAACTAACAATCCTATATTATTGTAATTTGTACACAGTCAAGAACCTTCCTACCTCCAAGAAATGTAGTCTACAACAACTTCTACCTCTACACGTTCTAATCCTTTGCCATATCCTAAGAACATGTTTTCCAGAACGAAAAAAGATTCAAAAAAGAGAGAAACAAAAACAAAACAGCTAAGATATATCCACCTGTCTAATTGAACCGAAGCAAACACACAACACTATTTCAAAACTAGCTTCATACGCCAGTCCGACGGGATACGGATCTACCCGACCCGCCTAGATCCGCATTGATCCTGCTGAAAACCACAGCCAACGGCACGCAAGCCACCGAGGGCCCCTTCACATTGCCAACCGGCAGCCCTTTCTTCACATCTCGGCCAGGTCTGTGGGGCCCGGACAATGCGGACAGCTTACGGGTCTTCTTCAAAAGGAGCCCATTTTTTCCAGAATCCAGCGGCGCATGGTCGCGAGCCTTGCTGCGGGGCCCACCCCTCGGAGTCTTCCGTTGGGCCGAGAAGCTAGTTAGATATTCATCGCAAGAGCCATTGGCAAGGACCTCGACCGTGAGGGGGTGGCCCACGACCGAGCATCCAGTCAGCTTGCTCGCCATAGAGACGTACGGCAAGCAGTACGGGCGGACAGGGTCCGACCTCACC